CTATCCTCTTGTCTGCTGCCCCTCCACATGCTTCCTCATTGCGGTGAGGGACCACTGAGTTGGATCTGAACCACGTCATCTATCTATCAGTATCGATCACAAACAAAGCAATGGTCCTAGAGACGGCCCCCAGGGTGGGAGCAGGGTGCCTACCTTCAACCACCTCAGACCCTAAGGAAATCCTTCCCTGAACATTGCTATAGATCCTGGGACAACCTCCTATAGCAACTTAGAGGAGGAAAGCGAGGCCTCCTGTCACCTGTGCAGCTGCGAAGGACCTGTAACAGACCCCAGAGTCCCCAGCATCCCTCAGCAGCTGAGGAAAACATCTGACTGTTATGGAAAAGAGGCAGAAGAAAAATCAGGAAGAGGACACATTCCCTGATTCTCCAACTAGAGGCTTGGGCTCCCAAGTTCAGGAATGCCTCTTCCTTCGGAAGTCACGATGTCAGGATGCAAACTTAACCCTAACTGCAGGCTAGCACTTCCTACCAAATCACCTCAATTTTCCTTTGAGCTTCTAAGGTCATTTTATATATTAAAATCTTGAGAGCCGACACTTCAAAGATAGGACCTGTCTTCGGAGTACTAACCAATGTTTCTTGTTTATCCATCAAGCCACGCTGCCCTATTTCAAACCTCACATTTACTTTCTCAGCCTCAATCTTGGCCCCCATCCCCAAGCATACTGCACCCTAGGATGAGGTACTTCCGGCCTTAGCCCAGTGGAAAAAGTTAGTTTTGCTTTTTGCCCACCATGGTTGCCTCCTCCCATCTTATTACCCAGAGCTCACCCTCTTGATCACAAGGGAGTAATAGCAGATGGCTGACCACTGCAGTAGATGCCCCTCAACAGGAAGGCCTGCTGGTTAATGTCTAGTGGACCACCCGCTGGCTGCCTCGCTAAACGAAATGACGGACCAGCTATGGAGGAACCAGTTCTGACTCACAGAGACCCGCCATCAAGTTTCTGAGACTATACATTTTCATGGGAGCAGATGGTCATCTTTCTCCCTCAGAACAGCTGGATACCCGCCTCTCCCTCTGGGTGAGGGCAGTGCCACTTCCAAGGAGGAAGATAATGGGTTGTCATCGGTCACAATTTGAGAGCCTGGGCCTGAGATGAAGACTTTAAGAGAGAGCAATGAAGAATGATAATTTGTGGCGGGAAGCAATCAGCAAACTGGGACAACAGCGGGAGCTGAGTCCAAGGGTGAGTGTCTGGGAGTAATTTAGGAACGTTCAGCGCTGACAGCTGTGTCTGGGAGTTCAACATCATGACCATCCCTGCTCCTGGCTTCCTCCAGTGCTCCAGGCTCATAAGTGCTGGCCAGGACAGAAAGGCAGCTGTGGCGGAGCAGAAGCCAGGCCCCTACCCATCCCCCCCATCCTCCCACTCCCACCCCACCCCCTTCAGCCTCGCTGCTTCCAAAGCAGCTAGACCTGAGGAAAATCACTCGGGAAAGGAAGGGAAAGGAGCATCTGGTGAGCAAATGCAATGCCCTTGCTTGTGCCTCGTCCTCCTGAGGTTGGCTTTAAATACAGCGGCAGCGTTTCCAACATTGCAGCAACATGAAAGCCACCATGGGCTGTCCCAGGATGGTGACACTGTCTGCTGTACTTTAGACACGTTATCAGGAGGGACCGGTCTCAGGAGAAGGCTGTCATGCTTGGTCCAGCCAGTGGGCAGTGAAGAAGAGGAACACTCAGTGTGGCTACAATGGACTCAAACCTGGCAGCAGTAGTGGGGGG